GTACCGGGCGGAGCCCAAAAAAAATCCTCTTTCTTAGTATCACTCTCGAGATCTTGAAGCTTTGATTATAAAAAGAGAAAACTCGAAGGTCATTTTCTTTTTCTTCAAATGGGTCTTGATGATTCATGCAACACAGGTCTTGTTCTTGGTTTAGGCCTCTCACCAACGCCTAATAACTACAATCATGTTATCAAGAAATCTTCCGCAACGGTTGACCACCGTCTCGATCCGTCGTTGACTCTAAGCCTCTCCGGTGAGAGCTACAAGACCATGACGGTTGAGATGACCGTTGCCGGTGCCGGAGATCAGATTTGTCGACAGACCTCGTCCCACAGCGGAATCTCATCTTTCTCGAGCGGAAGGATAAAGAGAGAAAGAGAAATCTGCCACGGCGACGACCAAGAAGAGGCGGGGGATACGACGGAGAGAGTGGTGTGTTCGAGAGTGAGTGATGATCATGAAGATGAAGAAGGTGTTAGTGCTCGTAAAAAGCTTCGACTCACTAAACAACAATCCGCTCTTCTTGAAGAAAGCTTCAAACTTCATAGCACTCTTAATCCCGTATGATATAGTTTAATTATTTCCTTAATTTAATCTAATCGATGTCTATTTTTTTAATCGATATCTTCTTATTTGCGTCGATCATATCCTAATTATTTGTTTTTAAATTTACAGAAGCAAAAACAAGCTCTTGCGAGACAGCTGAATCTAAGGCCTAGACAAGTTGAAGTGTGGTTCCAAAACAGAAGAGCTAGGTAAATTAAAATGATTTAAATTATAAGAAATTAGTTCATATATAATTACTTTTCCTTCCCATTTTTTTTATTCCTTTTTTAAAAAAATTGGGCAGGACAAAACTAAAGCAGACAGAAGTGGATTGTGAGTTATTGAAAAAATGTTGTGAGACTTTAACGGATGAGAATAGAAGGCTTCAAAAAGAGCTTCAAGATCTTAAGGCTTTAAAAATGCCTCCACCTTTTTACATGCATATGCCGGCGGCAACTTTGACGATGTGCCCTTCTTGTGAGAGAATCGGCGGTAGTGTTGGTGCTGGAGGAGGAGGCGGTGGAGGTACGGTGGCGGTTGATGGAGGAACGGCTAAGGGAGCTTTCTCCATCGTCACAAAACCTCTCTTCTACAACCCTTTCGCTAATCCTTCTGCAGCTTGTTAATTACTTACTCATTAATTTGCTTATTTATCCAATTAGAAATTAGTTAGAAGGTAAATCCCAGGGACAAAAGACTAAGTTAAAATTGGGGGAAAATGGGGTATAGTCAGAGTCTTCAACGATTCCACTTTATTTTTCGGTGGGATTGTTGGTTGATGAAGAAAAAAAAATAGTTTGTAATTATAGCTTTCAATTTGTAGAGACAAAGAAGAAGATAATAGTACTACTAATTCATCTTCTGTTGTTCTTTTTCAATTTTTAAAATTATAATATAATATTGCTTGTAAAACATGAAATAATTATATTTAATAAATTTTGTATAATTATACAATGGTTTATTACGTCTTCCTTAACAAATGATTGTTCATTCATGCGAATATACTATTGGTTATTAATATTTTTTTATCTTAAGCTTATAATTAAATATGGGTTCTAATTTTGGTTCACACTTAGACACTTTGCCCCTTCCTTTTCAATGCGTTTGTTGATTGATTCTTTGATTATTATAGGCAGATTCGTGTGTATATTTGTAAAAGTACGCAACTAAGATTTTATAATTACAAAGTTTCTAATGGTCCATTATTCTTTACTACTCGAACTTGGTTTTGTTTTCAACCGTAGAACTCAAATATGGAAATATAATTTGAAATAAATCTCACCAAGAAATAAAAAGATTATATTAAATAGGTGGAGAATCTCAAAACTTAAAAAAGATAAAGGTAGTGGAAAAAAAGTTGAAGAAGGTTAGTTAATCCGGTAAGCCAAACAATTTTATATTTGACTTATAATAGTACTTTTTGATAGCTTACATCGGAATATTGTTTTTCAAATTGAACATGTATTAATTTTGGCTCTAGTTACAATGATTTATTCGATTATCCAAAAGCAAAAATAAAAGATAAAAAAATCTGAAAAATCATTTGATGGGTGTGAATGATTTTAAGTGAAGGGATAAAGGGTGTGGGGCTAAGAGGTTAGCTCACGTGTATTGATACATCTCCTTATACTTAGAATTCATTAAACTTATACTCTCTTTGTTTCATTAAAAAATTAATAAAATATACAAATATACCCCTAATTAATATATTTTTATAACAATTAATTACAAATATTATCATATTTAAATAAGGAATAAAACAGGAAATAAAAATAAAAAATTACATTGAAAATGCAGAATAACATTTTTTTTAAATAAAAAAATGAAAACCAATACGACATTTATTATGAAACGGAGGGAGTACCTTTTAAATTTATTTAACCAATAATAATTTATAAAAAAGTTACACAAGATTACACTGACAATTAGAAGAGCCAATACACACAATCCAAAAGCGTGTTCACATAAGTAATCAAATATTACCAACAAATGATAACAATAGGAAAAAAAAACCATCATCAAATTACTTTTTTTGGTCGACATACAGATATGTTTTTTGAAAAAGATAAAATGGAAATAAATAGTTAATAAATAAATAAAAAGTTCTTGAAGATTTGAAGTAGTGAGATGCTGTCTTTAAGGGGTAATGTGGGGCATTCTTCACGTGATTTTCTCTTCGTTTTTCCTCTCACTACCATGTTATAGATATGTGCGATTAATTATATGATTTTTCATATACACCTATATTTATTACTTCCTCTGTATTTGATAATGTTGTTTTAAACCTTTTTATTTTCTAAAAGTTTGTATTTATAATAAAGAAATTTTAAAAGGTATTTCTAAAAGGTGCAATTAATTATATAGCAAAAATTTGTATTTTTAATATAGTTTTTTAAATATATCAATAACGAATTAAATAGAATTTTGAATATTTTTTAAAATGTGTAAAATTTTAGAATGATATTCTTTATTAAACAGAAATATACACACAAAATTTATTTTTGTTATATAAATACATTAAAAAATGAACACGAGACGTATACATTAACATATTTATGAAAATGATGGCGATAAATACTCATAAAGTATTTACTTGATTCAAGAACACACATATACGTATCATATTCATGAATCTTCCAATTGAACACGTACATGTACAACACTATTCTAAGTTATGGATGCAGTTTAAACTTTAAAAGCCATAACATATACACCATTTTTATGAAAAAACAAACAAAACAAATACACCCTCTGAATTTTAAATTATTATATTTTTATTTTAATAAAATTATTGTTTTGTATGTTTTAATGCAAAATGTCAAACAATTAAGCCAAGAAGTAAACTATTGCGCATACATTGTCTTATATTAAATTATATTCACAGTTTTATGGTAACGAACCGTTTAGCCAGATTAATCATCATTTATATATATGTTTCTATGCAACAACAATATATTATTTATAACAAGTCGTTTTGTTACTGGTCACATTTGATTCATAAAATGGCTTGAATTGGTATTAGATTGGATACAGTAAAATCATTTTATTAGGTATAATGTACTTATTAACTCTTATATATATATATATGTGGTATAGAAGCTACTTTGATCGTCGAAGTCGAAAAAGATATGCAGTTGAGAACTTGAGGTTGATCTCCACAAGTAATACGTATGTATGTTTTCATAATTATGTATGTGGAAAAAGAAGGGTACAATATGAAAATGTTTTCAACAAAAAAAAACCCGTAAATGTTCAATAAAAGAAGAAGGGTGATAGATTAATTTCTTGCTTTTGTTCGAGGAAATAATAGCCCAATGTTTTCGTATAGAATATAATGCATGCGTGATGATGGAGGGTGAGATGACGAGAGAGTCCACAAATAATATCATAAGATCGGTGACCCTGAAATTATGGTGGTGGACCATTTAATGATGAGATGACTTTCCGGGGAAATCGATGACTTTCTCGGAAACAATTCTATTTCCACGGATTCATTCCCTTACTTGTCTCCTTTTTCTTCTTTTCTCGTTCCTCCTTTATTTTATTTATAATATTACTATAAGAAATTCTGATCCAAATCTAATTTTAGCCGTTCTTAATCCGGATTTCAGTTGTGGGTTTCAATACTTAAGAGAAAACCAAAAACATCATTTACTTCATTTATTGTTGCCTTCCATTTTGTTGTCGATATTAGAACTAAAGATTTATAGTCTATGTAAAAATTTATTCCGTCTACTTATTTACCTCATATTAGTCCTCATACTGTCATACATATGACCGTGTATGTGTGACGTGTCTATCTACTATCTAGATGGATAGTGGCAAGTGAAAGTTCATTCATAATTGGATCAACAGAAGAAAATCTTTTACTATATGCATTCGACGACTTCAAACTTAGAAGACTATTTTTACCAAAAAAAAACCTTAGAAGGCTAATAATCACTTCGACCAAAAAAAAGAAGACTAATAATCACTCTTCAAATATGCGTGGTCATTGCGACAGGGGAAAAAAACGCTCAGTCAAACAAAATATTATATACTCCTTCCATTTAAATTAATTAATGTCTAATATTTTTCATAAAAATGTTATTTTTTGTTTTTTAATTAAAGTTAACCATCAATTATTATTTGCCTAAATATAATTTAAATAATGATAAAACAAATTGTAGAATACAAATAATCATAGAATACACATTTTAATTAGTTTTATATACAGCAAAATAATGAAAACATTACTTAATTTGATTTTTTTTAAAAGTGAAATATCTATTACTCCTAATAGATGAAGTGTTAGGCAGACAAGATTGTGTGATGAGACGTATCAAATCGGCCACATTAATTTCAAAATATTTCAATAGGACGTATATTTGATTTATGAATATGATTGTATGTATTAAGATTACTTACTATTCGATGTCATTATTAATTATTATACTTATGTAGGTGACTAATTATTTGGGTTTGTTTCTTTTAATGATTGATAGATTTGTTTACGTGTGCACGAACGTAATTAGTGTATTAAGAACAGCAAAAGACATGTGTCAATTGCTGATTAAATTGTCGGTTTGTCGAATTCTTGTTCCCGACTTTTCACATTAAAAATCTACCACTATTATTATTATTTATTTATTTTAATCACTAAGTATGAGTTTGGTAGAAGACTCTCTTTTTTTCCCAAAACAAAACAACTATTTTTTTTTTCTCGAATGGTAATTCGTCTGCTAAATTTTATTATTCAAAACAAACATAGTTAACAAAACAGCTCTCCAGTCACAACTAAGCTTTATACATGTAATTTATATATATATATCAATACTTTATATGTAATCTAAATCAATTATTTATTTTGATTTTGATTACAATCTAGTAGTATGTAAACAGTAAACTAACTGTTGTCTAATGCAATTTTTCATTTTTTCAATGGGTTCCAAAACAGCTTAGTTTTACCAGAATAATTTAACTGTAGAACCAATCAAAAGATGGTTTCATTACATCAAATTATTAAGAAATTTTAAACTTTTAAGCTAATCATAATCAACATTGGTTGCTCAAAAGTCAAAACACACCATTGTGCGTTTAAGTTAAAAATTGAGTTGAACGTCCAATAAATTACTTTAGAAAACAAAAAAAGGCCGACTAAATATCAATTAGTTTGATATCTTTGATATTAAACTCGATCAATCTTAAACATATCATACAAGCAACTAAAATAACTATATGACTTTTAAAAAACTTTGTTTTAAAAAAAAGCTTAAGGAAAGACCTAAATATTCATGATTAGTTTCATAGTCCTTGTTATTTTGGGCGTCCATTTATCTAAAATATAGTCATCGTCCATACCAACATTTTGTAGCAAACTAATATTTACTTTTGTGACCGTTAATTTATCATCTGGAGACATATACTTATGAACTTATCCGTAATCATTAAAATGATTTTAGGAAAAACTAATAATTCGTTCAAATTGACATGATTTGATGGCTTAATTCATAGCTTTCGTTCATAATGTATGTCATTTTTAGCTGCAGCTAAATTCGAACCAGTGTAAGGAGTGTTTAAACGTACCAGTAGACTATTAGACTATATATAAGACAAACAAATCTTCGTCAAATAGTATGTAACATAGACCACATCCTGTCGGGTTAACTGTATATATAATATATCTATCAACATAGAGCTAGTCTTCAAGCCTATATATATGCATTATAGTTATTGTCCAGGAAATAAGTTTCAAATGTCAATAATAGAAGAAGAAAATGGGGACTACTGAATACTTGGAACTTGGTAGAATTACTAGATGCGGCTCATAGCATGTGATGACATATAATATATTTAGTAAAAAAAAAAAGCAAAATAAATATGTGATAGTGTATGCCCATTTTGCTTCACTTTTGATGTACTATATTAAAAGAACTTTGAACTTTATTAAGTAATTGATTGATGCATAAAATATGGAGAACCATGTGATTTTGCTCCTCTTTTTCCGGACTTTCTGTCAATTCTATATACGTTCTCTAGCTTTTAGTTATAAGATTAATCTAATCTATCAAAGGTTTATTTTTATATAATTTAATTTTAGATTTTGACCACAAACAACTTTATTTGAGGTTTAATAACAACACTTAATTGGATCGAAATTTCGTAATTAAGGATGTCAATATTTTTTTTTAAAGGATGTTAATATTTTGTTTTGTCATATATTCATTTTTACTCTTTTTCGGATTATGACTGATAGGTTCACAAAAATTTGTAAAAAAGTGAAGACCGAAATTATACTATTAAAAATAGAAATTTCCAGTTCATCAATTTTAAAATTGTGGACCATAATTATTTTAAAATATTAGAAATCATTCACAAAACTGTAGAACATATTTTCAGAGTTTTAGATCAACATATTAAATTAGTTTTGAGTTTTAGATCAACATATTAAATTAGTTTTAACTTTTAACTAAAAAAATTTGCACGTCAGTTATGTAATTACATGGGATCGTTCTTATTACTTTCCATTTCAGATTCGCATTTATTTGATTGTTTCATGTGTCAAAATCTACAAATAACACGCGGATGTCATGAGTTTCATGAATTGATCAAACCATTTAATCGTAACTAATCTAATTGACACGTTGAACATTCTCTTTTTGAGTCAAGACCACATGTAGATGTTCCTCTAATAGAATAATTACATCCTTAGAATAGAATATTGTCTTTTCACATGCATACAAAGTAGGAACTTAGAAGATACGTCTAAATTTTAACTAATGAAAACTTACAAAATAGTATATATTTGTATAAAAATCCTTTTCGAAAACAAAAGGATTTGATGTATACCACAAAATAACAATAATTGGTAACGAAATGGATTATATACGTGTTGTTGATCAGTAAGGAAGAGTAATTAATTAATTAGTTTCTTTTTGTTGTTGTTGTTGTTTACCTGTTATAATTTTAGATGTAAGTGATTGCGATGTTATAACTTGTAAGGCTGAATCAGATAATATTTTCTTAGATAAAAACCTGATTTTTTGAAAGACTAGAAACATATTAATAGAGCCGTGTGTAGCGTGCTTAAACACTGATATTTTTTCTTTTACAAAAAGTTTGCTGCTTACAAGAAAGTATCATAGTATTTCATTTCTGTTTATTATCCGTCGGTCGAATTGTGAAGAACTTCTTTATCCAAATCTTGTCCATCTAAATATAGCTAAGTATGATTGAAATTAAACTAAATATTCGACGTTAACCTAAAATATATATATATATATATATTATACCAAAAATCATCAGTTTATGAGTCTCTTTGGTATCCAAACTCATATATATCTCTCAATTTTTTAGAAATTGGAGGTTTTAGAGTTTTAGTAGCTTTTGTTTATGGAAAAACAGTGTAAGGAAGATCAGAAAAGAAAAAAAAAAAAAAAAAGAGACAGTGAAGGTAAAGTTTTTCAAAAATTAACATAAGGCAGTATAGTTTTTGCTACAACAAATTACATCATCACTTTTCATTTCCTTATCACTATTCACTAAAGAACATCTACTTATTATGATAATATTTGATAAAAGATGGAAACAGCCAAACAACAGGTCAATTTGGAAGTTTCAAGTTGTATATAAAAGAAAGGAAAAGCATTAGTTTACTGGACTAATCAATTCGTCCCAGAAAGTTACAAGTTTGGACCAGTCCAATTATCTCTAGTGGACCCTAGTAATCTTATCTCTTCGCTATTTATCCCATTACTTACATTTCGATCAAATCAACCCCAGATTGTAGCCACTCGTCAATTTCATGCTGGCCTCGACTGATCATTTTCGCCATCACATTCATCATCTTTTGTCATCTTCATCATTGGTTTTGCCTATCCTGTTGTCGATATCAACAAAAAGAGACTTGTTTTAATAGACTTATATGATTCGGTTCTGAGAGGTTTTGATGTTTTGACCTAATTCGGCTGGCTTTTGCAGAATCTAACCCTAATTTTGTTCAAAACCTTAAATGCTAAAAAAACTGTGCTGGGTTGGCTTATAAAATTTTGATCCACCGTAACATCTTTACTTATCAGGATATTGGCCCGACTCAATTATTAGCGAAAACCAGTGCGGTAATGAAAAAAGAAACCCCCAATACATTTGATTTTTATAATGAATTTGGGCCCAAATGTAAAACATGCAAATAAATGTAAACCTTAGATTTAGACAAAAATTTAAATTTGGACATAGGATCCAGTGCAAATGGAAATTTGGACATAAGTATCATACGCTTTAAAAGAGTTTCACTATAGCGTAAGCAAAGATATTACCAATCTATTTCATCGTCAGAATCTTCACGAGCTCGTATGTGTAAAATAGTAAAAACGTATCTATGTATAGGCATATTTAATGTAGGTGTAAGAGAAAAAAAGAAAAAAAAAAAGAAAGAGACCTGAGCTATTGCATCAAGACCCAGAATAGTAATGCGAAAGAGAAGATAGAAAGAAGTAAAGAACACATCTCTTCAGATGAAACTAATTCCAGACCCAAGTGACCAACAAACCGTATCATAAAAACAGCACCATAAAAAAGCATTTATTTAGTTAATTTGAATCGAATCCAGATTTTGTTGATTCTCATATAAAAGAAATTATATTTTTGTTGATTCTCATATAAAAGAAATTATATTTTAACAATCGAGCTAATATAATCTGTTAAAAATACAGGCTTTTAATTTCATATTAACTATTTTTTAATCTGCCAAATTGTTTTTTTTTTTTTCAAAATAAAACTGCCACAAACCAAACAAAAACAAAAATACCCACGCTTACATACAAACATGATTATTTCTCTTAACATTATTAATAATAGAAATCATTAATAAGACAAAATACATAATGGAAAAATTTAAAGAGACAAAATATATGAACATTTGATCACAATCAGATCGATTACAGTTCGATCGTCATACACCACAAGATTCATCAACAACTTCACATACAAAGGCCTTCACATACAAAGGGCCTTTTAACTAAAAAGAAACAACTTCACATACACTGCAACGTCCCCTATGGAATAACCACTTGGCACTTTTTCTTGCTTTTATGACAGCATTTGTTTGGATCATATTCCAGCCGAGCATTCTGGGGGAGGAATAGGGAACCGAGACTTATCGGTACAATAATCATAAACCATATGGTTTACTCGGACCCATCTATAACCTCGAGCCTCTACCGGACTCAATTGGTGGTATGCACTGCCTTCCCACCAATTTTTAGGATTAGCGGGACAATTTGCTGGTCCCGGAACCGGACATCCTTCTATATCAAAATCTTTGTAGTAAGCATAAAATGGTGCTCCCGACCAATTGATTTTCTCCATTCCTCCACGAGTTGCCCAATCATCTGCTTCCCACAACGTCGAATATACACCCATTGGTTGGAATCTCGGGTATGGAACTTTCCTCGCCTCATTGTTCTTATAAACCCTAATGGGCACATTGTCTACGTAGAACCTACACACATCACACGTAATAGACGATTACAAAATGATTGGAACCAAATCTTGTTTTTTTTTTCACTTATGGGCGGGTAGTGGATTTTGAAAATATGGGACCTTTACGTTGTCAAATCGAATGAATGCCTCCAAAACAAATATGCTGTCTCTTTCATTCTCTTATTACATGGCCCATGGGCCGACAAAATATTAAACCAATCATGTCTCTCGTGAGTCCGTGACAATATGAAAAGACAAGAATAGTTAACCGAATCTTATTTATTGGTTAATTTGATATTGTTAAATCAATTATATATTACGTTTCTTTTAAAAACTAATTAGAAAAATCGATGGCAAATGCTGTACTTGTAGTATATGTATGACTTACACAATACGGAGATGGTTCCATGAAATGGCGTACTCATGGAAATCACGAGAAGGGTCAAACCAAAGGTTAACTCTTTGTTCTCTATCGCCTTTACCATGAGCAAACACGTTTGTTTGCACAGTGTACGGTTGTCCACTTCGATTTCCCAAGAACTCAAAATCTAGCTCGTCTCTTATAGAATCCGTATCCGAATTCATCTGCATCAATTATCATATATATATCGTTATGTATTGATATTATAACCAAAACTTCAGAAATATGTGTATGATGTACGTAGTTTTACATAGAAGGCTGCAACAGTTCCCGCCGAATCACCGGGGATGAGTTTGATTTTCATGCTCACGCGGCCAAACAAGTACTGCTTCTTCGAAGCGAACCCACATCCTAAACCAATGTTAACAAAAACATGTAAAATATATGGAATTGAAGATATATAGTATGTTTCGATAAAATTGATTATAATGCACGTAAGAACCTGAGCTAGGGTCTAATTTGAGCTGAATGGCTCTTCCTCCATCGAGTTGAGTGATATGAGCATCTGACCAAGTGATCCTAAAGTCATCCTCAAACCTAGCCGGTCTACTTAAAACCGACCGGTACAATGCTGCAAATAAGCATAAGCTTATAAAGAAAGCGTTTCTTGCAGAGAAGAGTGACGCCACCATTCTTGCTTTGTAGTTGAAGATTAATGGATGGGTTTGGTTGAAAATATTAGTCGATCGAAGCCATATTTATAGAGAGACGCATTGCAGGTAAAATGTATGTGTAATTATTGGGGAGGGTATCATTTAGAGCTTAGCTTTTCAGTACAGCTAACCACTGATCGATCGTCTCAATTTTTTTGGACCTACTACTTTTCTATTATTGTTGTTAATTATTATTATGTTTTAATATTCATTGAATATGTATTGTTTTCTTTCCCAAACCTTACTGTTCCCTCACTCCTTTTTTGGTTACTGTATTTGAATTTAATTTATTTCGTGTACTTTGCGGTAAAAATAATCACATTATCATTTCCTGCACTCCTCATGTCATGTGAAACAAGTATTGTTACACGAAGAATTTATAATAACTATGGAAAAATTCTGATCTCGATATATTGCGATAAAAGTCAAAATACTTCTGGGCTCTCAATGATTGGAGTGAATGAATTTCCCAGCGGACTAAACTGATACGCGCGTCGTGATCTCTTTCGAACACGTGTACCAATACACTGCCCTGCTATGCCTCGCAAAACTGATACAATCGTTATGTTATATAAGTGGTGGAGATTTTGTATAAATTTTCCCTACACAAAAAGTTAACTTTCGTATTTTTGTATCACAACAAAAGAGGTATCAATATCACAAGAATTTCCAAACTTAATGTATTGGTTCATTTGATTCGGCTTTGTTCTCAACCCCAATAATAATGACAAGTTTGTTGTATTCACCAAAAAAAAATGACAAGTTTGTTGTTTATTTATTTAAAAGGAGATGGTAATTTAAGGCTGTGATTGGTTGGTGCTTAATAGGGAAGAGAAAGAGTGGAAAAGTTTAGTCATAATTATGCTGGAAAAACACCAATCAAATAGAAAGTGTAGGAAAAATATTTCCTCTCTAAAATAAGAGAATCTTTCCACCCAAAATTACAAGAAGGAAAATAAATATTTCCTCTCAATTACTCTATTTTTTTACATTTATTTTCTTTTTATTTTTTCCCTTTTTACTGTAAGGGTGATTGGAGAGCTTTGTTAAAGGGAAAAATGGATGGGAAATTATTACTCTCAAGTCTCAATTTCTCTATATTCTGTCCAATCAAGAAGAAAAAAGAATCTTTGGAGTAATTTATTGGGATTTTTAAGTGTATGTGAATGGTTGACCAAATGATTAACTATATAACAATGGATAATTTATTTCCCTTTCTTTGCCTTCATTTTTATTGAATATCTTCTCAATTGAAAATGGAAGTGGACTCGGAACAAAAAAAGAAAGAAAAAAGGAAGTGGACAAAGTCTCCCTCCCAATTCCTCTAGTGACTACTTCTCTTTTCTTCTTATTTTAATTACCAGATCCCACTCTTTTATCAATGACATATCCCAACACAGTAACATATATCCTCTTTTCCTTGTTTAGTTTGGACGAGTTTTTATTTATTTTAGTTGCTTTAATGAGAGTAGCTGTGAAGTATTTATGATCGTACATGAACATACTAATTTATCAAAAGAAAATGAAAATAAGAAAGTTGTTAAATGTGGAGAGGCGTGATAGTAGGGATATGTCTATGTTTAATTTATGGATATTAGCTTTCATTTCCTTATCCACATCAGTACACCACACAAGTCGTGCTCGTTGAATAGTTCATTACTTCATATCCCCATCTTTGTTTATATCATTCTCACTCAATCTCCGAGCTAGCAAACATCGTAAAAATAAATGAATTCTATTATGCATTTTGGTACTCTAGTTGCGAAACTTCAATAAAGTAACTTTTGATTGGCTAGTTCGTTTTGTACAAACCGTTTCAAACTATTTGAAAGCTCTTTGTAAATTTTGTGTCAAACGTATATTTGATATGTTGACATTTTTTTTTTAAAAAAAAAGACTAATTCATATATACAGATTCACATTTTAATATTTCATACGTGTTTTATCGGAACTTTGTTCGAATACATTTTAACATAAATGTAGGGAAATCAAGTATCAATCCAAAATCCCTCTTCTGAAGGTTAGACAAGAATGATCTAATATAAGTTAACTTAACTCCAATTCCAATTGCTATGTGATTTTCCAGAAAAGAACTAAAAAAAAATCCATATGAACTTTGATTTTTGCACTTAAAATAGACAATATCATATAGAGGAAGTTGGACATAGACATGACATTATAAAACTTTGTTCAAATACATTAATTATTTGCTCTTGCATGTTGTAAAAAACATGTTTTGGCTCTAGAGCTAGCATAATACATTCGTGTATTGAGTAGATTCCCACTATTATTTTCTAAGCTTACATCAATTATATGAGAAATACTAAACTCACACAAATTAATCATAGTAAAATGATTTATATACTTAATTCGAAACCCAGGCAAAACTTAATTGATTTCGTGATTTCGATCTGATGCAATATTTGGTTACGTTGAGCTATCATGTCTAATAATGTAAAACACCCTGAAATTTTTTGTTTGCATGAAAACGACGGTTATCAAAACAATTAAGTCTAATTAATTTAGAAGGACACACCACATTGGACAAACCCACATGGAATTAAGAACTGTGGATAAGAAATTGATGGACTCCTCAAGTTTCATAAACAAAACTCTATTTAACCCAAAATTAATGTCATGTCCATTATATTGATTGAATATGCTGCTACCTACCTTTTTCATCCCCTTGCATACCCACTTCTTGTCGTACTTGTTCAAAATAGTAACATAACACGGCCGACATTAACTTGATTTGAGCTATATCGGAATAAACTACTGTTTTTTTTTTCAGGTAACGGAAAAACACTAGTAGTTTTCTTGTCATCAATAGTAAACATTTTAGTCATTTTCTCTGAATCACTTAACGTTACAAGAAATTTAAATAAAAACTGTTCTGATATCCTTTTTTATATAAAATGTAAATATTTTGGTTAAATTCTTGATGGAATGTGACACTGAACTGCGAACAAAAACATAGAAAAAATTCTGATTTTAAGTGTTTAACCTTTATTCACATTAATTAATGCTTTTAACTAGATCCCAGCCCGTCTGATATGGTATTGTCAATTTAAATTAGTTTCACATGTTTTTTTTTATTTTTAAGTTCATCTTTGACTGAAATCT